ACTGTTCCGACAGAGGGGGGTGTAACAGCCCTAACGGGTAGCTAGAAGAAGCCGAGTATCTGGAGGGTGAAACCGCAGTGCTGCAATGCATGGAAAATCTAAAGGCACACAGATTTGATTCTATCTTTGTTGCATTAGTAAAACCAATGCTTTGCTCCAGTTTTACACTAAGTATCACATAAGATAACAATATTTGGTAATTATCTCCATCTCAGCTAAAGTTCCAGTTTAAAGGCTCAGGTGTATGAATTATTTTGGCACTGGTGACAGACATGACAGTTTGCCAACTCCTGTTTGGAATAAATTCAGTAAGTATTAGTAGCACCAGATGACCAACCAAGTGCAAGTGCTGACACACCATCTCCAATTATCTGCAGTGCCAAATCTCCATGCTCTGAGAGAAAGAGTACTATCTGGAATTCCAGACTTGTGCTGAAGCCTCCAAAATTGCCTAGAGGTCTTGGTTTTCACTCCTGCTACTAGTCCAATCCCCTTTTCATAAGAGCAATCAGGCCTGAACAGGCTAGCTTTTTTTCTGGAAGTCCAAAGACATTAGGAAAATGGAACAGTCTTTCTATAGGCACAATATATGTATGTGTAGATAGTCCTAGAACTCCCAGTATTCTCCAGCCTCCCATGATGGGTGAAGAATGCTGGGAATTCTACTTTTTCCCCTAACTAAATATGCATAGGAGTGTACATTACTTAAATTCTGAGCCCGTGCCATTCCAAGCATGATGGAGGCTGGTTTAACATTGGTCAAAATCCACCCTTCATCTCAGGAAGGCCTGTCAGATTGCAATAGAAATGTGCAGTACAGTCTCTCCCTGCTCACTGTCTTCTTTGGAACCATAAGAATCAGGTGACCAAAAACGCTCAGCAAGAGACCAAGACTCTCTGACCACTGTTTCTGCAAGGAACTCTATACAGGCTCTAAAACACATGACTCTAGTTACAGGTAAGCCAATATTGACTTTTGCTTCTATCTTATGTGATTTTGTTTTCTTTCTTTTTTTTCTGTCATGAAGCCCTACTAAAGAAACCGCATGTACATGGAAAGTTGGCTTTGTTTCAAAAGCATCTTCCTCAACTTCTCACTAAAACCTTCTCTGTGTGCTGACTGCCTGAGTGTTAAACTCCTCCTTGTGAAAGAAAGATATTTAATAAGGTTTTGTTATATTCCATATCTTCTGAATTTTGTGGCATGTAAAACTTCTGTCCACACTGGTGACATGGATCCATTTCTATGTGAAAATATGTAACATACAATGGGCTGGGTTTGCATGTCATGAGAAGCCACAGTGATTTCTTACCCCTGCTGGTCTGTTGTGCTGTCTGGACTCAGTGGTGGCCTTTCTGCACAGTATCTTTCATTTCCTGAACCCACAAAGAATTCAATGTTCTGTTCTATGGTTTCTACACTTACCATCTCCAGTTGTCTAGACCTGGGATCTCTATTTTACTATTATTGGTATGGAAACACCAGAGAGTCCATGGAAAGACCAGTCACAGCAGTGGCTGCTAGACCATATAGTCTTTACTACCTTCACAGCACCCTAAAATGTCATCACTTGCTTTATTAGATTTTGCTGAGTGATGTGCCCATCTCCCTGGGAGAAGCAGGGAGTCATGGCAAAAGGATCATGATTCAATTCCTTTGGGGGTTGGAGTGGCTAGAAAGAGTTGCAGAGATGCAGATACACATAGGCGGGGGAACCCATTTCAAAACCTCAGCTGAGGTCCAGGAGAAGCAATAGTGTAAGCACAGGGTGTGGAGCACAGTAACTGCATTGTCATGGGGACCATGCAATCATTTGACTGGTAAGTTCGGGGGAAATCCATGCACCATGGAAATCACACGGGGTTGTTTGCCATGATGGGTGAACCCCAGCAATGGTCTAAAGAACCACTGATGCTTACTCCAATAGCCTAGATTCAAACTCAGCACTCCACTAGGAATGCCCTATGTACTATATGAAAGGTACAATGGATTACAAAACAAGGCTAGCATAACATATTACATTGGAATGCTTTCTTCCGCTTATCATAAAAAATTGGCTGGAAAAATTGGAATTAAATGTCATATTTATATCAACATTTCATAAGAAAATTTGGAAATCGCAGCTGAGTTAGATACCTATCAATTTATAAATAATCCTGAGTGCAATATTCACAAGTAAGATTGAATAGGACACCTGAATCTCATCTTAATCACAATCAGAATGCACGTTAAAATGAGAAAAGAAAATCTGCCTTTCATACAAATGTGTAACTGGAAAGTGGCAGTCTGAATAATAAAATCAACATTTACATAACTGTTTACACAAACAGATCCATTTGTGCTTCATTCTTTGTACAGTTGTAATTTGCTACAAACTAAAATATGTGTTTGGGGCAAATGCAACAAAAAACCAGGCTATTTCCTATGGAAATGCTGAGGAAAGCTGAAGGGAGTATTGAAAGTCATTAGGTTTCAATACAAGTTAAATTCCTTAAGAAAAATTCCAAACATTTTGTAGATTCCAAAAACATATCAACACGTTAATCAGAGCCATGCAAGAGCCAGTATGGAGTTAAAAGCAGACCTGCAATGAAGGTTCCCATAAAGGGCTCCTTTTCAGAGTTCTAGCTAGCCAGACAGTTTTCCTTTTCCACTCCTTTCCATTCTCCCAAATATAGTTCTTACCATCCCCACCCCAACAGCTGGCCAGCATTCTAAGGCCAATGACACAGCGCAGCCGTCTCAGGTCGTTTTTCTTTTTTGTGCTTCGAAACTTTGGGTTTCCCTGAAGCCTGCTTGTCCGTGGAGGATGCTGTTTTGATCCAAACTCAAATGCTGAGTTCCTTATGATGATGCTTGTTGCACTCACGGTGGGGTGCATACTTAAAAAGCATTTCAGAGTGCACATCTCTGGGAACCTAAGGTCTAGAGGAATATAAAAGGGTTTCGGTATTTGTTACTGTTATTGTTGATATCACTTTAAGTGCGGGATGCCTGCTTACATTATGCAGAGCCTTCATTGATAAATCCCTCCTGCCCGCCCTTCTCTCCTTGAGCGTCAGGCTCCTTTTTGCTGATGGATCGAGGTGAAACAGATGCTGCCATAAATACTCTTGCTTCACGGTTTCAGATGCAGTTTCTGTTTTGTTGAACATGTTGAGGGCTCAGGCTATCATCAAGCCTGTGCCTGCACCATTTATGCCTCTGCTGGAAGCCCAGTGTTATACAAATGGCAAAGAAATGCATTCTGAAAGGCCATCTTTGACTAAGAGCCAAGCATACAACAAAATCATATTTATATTCTGGGCAGGAGAACGTTGAATTTGTAAAATGCTAAGGATTTTAATTATTGGTACCCCCATGCCTCCTTGGTGCAGGTTCTTCTCTAGGCCTTTGGCATCAGAAGGCGAGATGGTAAGACACCAGGAGTGCTGCAAAGAAGATATCCCAACAAGACCCGTACAATTTCCCAGTCCTGAGAGCTTGCATCATGCTGGGATGCTGCACCTCAGATCTGGGGTCTAGTTCTAGCAACTGGACATTTTTCCCCCAGATGGCAACACCCCCTCTCCCCTATCTGAGGAGTTTGTTGCTTCCTTGGCTTTTGTACCTCTACTCCCCATTCTGAAAGACTAAAATGCCTTTTTCAAAGCTTAGTTCTGATACCAAGAACTCTAAGCTAAAATCTGCTGGATTTCTGGCATATTGACCACACCTGTTTTGCTTTTGGCCTCACTCACCACTGGGATGTGGTCCCCAAGAATGTCTCCAAAACTGGATTCAGCTATCAGGCTAAAGGAGGTTCAACATCCTGTGATGAGTCTTATTGTCTGTTATTTTGGGGGGTGGGGGGTCATTTATCTATGACATTATATTAGCTGCTGGCATGGATATTCTACATGCCACCATCTCATGAAAATATACAAATCTACATCAAGGTGATAGAGATGAGCACTTTTTGGAACAATCCACTCTTAAGACTGTCTTTCTGGAAGTTTGCCAAATCATCTTGGAATGCATCAAGGAAATACATCAAGTTACTGTTAGGCCTGATACTTGATGGCCACATTTCAAGAGGAACAGGCCAAGATATTTGCATTTCATATTTACTGCTTGCCTTGAATGTCTTGCCATCTGCCTGGACCCCTATGGAAAGCAGCAGGATGTAATCAAAATTTAGAATGACTACTCAAATACTTGACAGGTTTCACAACATTTTCCAAAGCAGTAATCACATCCAGTTTCAACACTGCTTGGTTTCAAATTGCTATTAAAGCACTTTAGTTTGAAGAGATGCATCCTCGCTTTTTATTGTATACAAAGAACACATTCCTAGACTTCAGTACATTGGCATCAGAGCAGTAAAATGAGAGTTTTAAAAACGGGGTTGACAACGTCTCCATTCCTCCACAAAAACCAGTTTGCCACTGCCTCTTGTAATTTTTTTATATATGGGGGGAGGAGGGTTGTGCTCCTCAGCATCTGTTACAAGCCAAAGTTATGAAGACAATTCCCGCAAAAAGTTCAAGGGTTTCAACACTGGAGCTGAAGAGAAGGCGATCTGTCCTGCTCAGCCAGTAAAGCTTGTCTTGATTACTTTGATGTAACAACACTTGAAAGCTCCTATTCTTTGAAACTAATTTAAACACATTGAATTGTTGAAAGATTAAAAACCGCAGTCAGCTAATTACACTCCCTCTCATCTCTTATTCAGCAAATGAATCACTTTTCATTACCACTTAGCTGAAGTACATGAATTTCTGCCTAATTAGAAATGTTGTAGATGGCGCATTAGCAAGGCTGGAGTGGGTCAAGATATCTTGGCTGCTTCATTTTTAATTCCGCACAGTAGAGTCAGATAGGAAAGGCGGGAGATAAAAAGTCATTAAACAATTTTAAATTATTTATAAAAATTACTTTGCCCAAATTATAATTATTCCCCCCCACCCAGCCGCTCTCACAAATGTCAAATGGAATGAAAGGAGAAGCAGCCCCAACATTGTTTTTAATGAACACTTTAATGTTATGTATAACAGAACATTATGAATACAATGGAAATAAAGTTTTATCAATTTAATAATAATAATAAAAATATCCAACATAAGAAAAGGGGAGGCAATAAAAGTTTCATACCTAGAATATAGTATTCATTCGCAATAGCAGCCTGGCTTTATGAATATAAACTGAACCTCTGCATTCCAGACTAAAAATCATGATCTGTGTGTGAACCTAAAATACAAAATTATAGTTGGAGAAGGGGTGGGGGGAGCCTTTAATCCATTCATGTGTTTCCTTTATGTTCATTAATTCATAAAATATGACTGCTACAGGTTTTTGAGATATATATAGATATATATATATGTACACACTCTCTCTCTTATATATATATATATCTATATATATCTATATATATATATATCTCCCCTCCCAATCAGATTCTGCAGTTGCTAAGGCCATATTTACATAAGAGGAGAGTAGTTACCAAATGCATAAAATCTAAAATCCAAAGATTTAGAGGTGTCCATTATTAACTGAATAGATGCTATTACTCTTTTTTGTAAAGTTGCATGAAAAATAATAAATACTCTTTTCTTTTGACTGTCAGTGATGTACACAGTGGCCCCAAAGTGTGCTACATGGCATGCCAACAATCACTGACTGCAGAAAAGTCACCCCAAAACAAATCCCAACCACACACACACACATTTATTTATTTATTTATTTATTTATTTCTTCTTTAAGAGTTTTCTGAAAGGAAACCATAAAGCAGCTCCGGATGATATTTCTACCAGTTCTGCATTAGATATTATAGCAGGTAGTAGCAGGAAACCTCCCACAAATTCTGTTCATCAGCAAATTGCTTGAAGAGGTCAATAATAAAAATTTGGATAGTATAGGTGTGTTGCTGGAAGAGTAGCAAAAGTATATATACATTCCAGGTCCCTTTGAATGAGCCATAATCCCATATGTAAGCCATTTTGGACAAAAATATATATATATATATATTCTTATAAAAAATTGATCAGTATACTTAGACTTCAAATTTGACTCAGTGGTAGGAAAAGGAATGGATCCAATTATGATAAAACAGATTCCAGGAGGGGGGGAAAGAAATCAAGTATAAAATTAGATTCACACAGATTATGCAGCCCCCAAATTCCAGACTTTCCACAATTTTCAAAGCTAAAACTGGTTCTGCCATCCAGAAAGGCCTTTAATTGTCTTGCTATAAAACAAGGCTTAGTCATTGAAATTTCAACCATTTGACTCACTGGAAGAACCTTTAATCTCAAAGTTTGAACAAAAGTAGTTTCAGAGTTTACAAAATGACCTTTGGGTTCTTTATGTGGGTTCCTTAAAAGTAAGCGATAAAAGGAGAAAAAAAAGAGAGCATTTGATCAGCATCTTCCACCCTTATTCCAGCTTTATTTGTGCAGCTAAAATCCTTCATTCAATCTGATTGGTTTACAATCTTTATTTGCTAAAATTGGCAAAATTGGCAAAGGCATCTTGCTTAGGTTGCAGAGTTCCAGGAGTCATGGAGGATGCCACTGCTATATTAGGAACACCCATGCCCATTGTACCTGACAAACCCATTCCAGCCGCTGGCATCGCCATGTTCACATTCATTCCCATCATGCCCTGGTTCATGACAGGTGCGCTTCCCATGGAAGCCATCCCCATTGTACCAGTCATCATAGTAGGCATCCCCATCCCCACAGACACAGGCCCTCCCATCAAGGGGTTTGCTGGCGGTCGGACAGGCATCATGCTAGGTGGTGAGTTGAGGCTCAAGGCTGCAAAATTCTGAGACATCACATTCATAGGTTGTTGCATATCTACACAAAAAAAAGGTAAAGTTTAGGTTTAAAAGTCAAATTACTTAGCTATTTCTGTTCTGCTGGTCAAAACAAAAACAAATCCCTTTCTTTTTCTTTTCTCCACCCAAAGTCCTGGGCATGTATTAAAAACAATTCTCAAATTAAGTCAAAACTGATGCCAAGTTCTTTGAAAGACCTATCAGAATAATTGCAATTCCACACATAGATGCCTTACACTTACAGTTCATGCAACCTCCGGTTCCCTTTCTTCCCTTTCCCCACTGTTCTCTTGACCCCCTTATCATGCTTTCTCTACATACCTACTAGCTACCCAGGCTCAGGGCAACCAGACATACAATGTTTTCCGTGTACATCAGATTATTTTTTAGGTACCACTTCCTTCTCATTCTGAGGGGAAAGGGCATATGAGTTAATAAAATTGCCCTCTTGTTGCCTGGGGAGGTGCATTTTAAGCATTTGGGAGAAGATATTGCAAAAATAAAAATTAAAGTTTGTATTCTACCATTGGATTAGGGTTTAAAAAATTTAAAGTGCAAGTGGACCTTCTTTACCATGTGACTGGTCTAGCCAAATACAGTTCACGAGCCTGGGACCCCAGAAACAAGGGGCTGTTAAGTACTTAGTAGACCACTATGTATGACTGGTGGATCACAGGTTGTACAGAACCAAATTAGATTTTGAAGCATATAACCTGCCCACCAGTGATCCACAGCACAGTGATTACATAACATCCTGACATCACAGTTATGGTCAGGGTCTTGTGCACTGACAAAGTTCAGAAGCAGTTTCAGAATCACTGGGAAACAACAAAAGGGCTGTTGAGCCCGGAATGCTAGACACAAGTATCACTGCCAGCTGTGCCAGACTTGTTACAAACTTCTTGCTCGCCATTCCTAATCTTTCCTGGCCAAGTCTCCATTGTCTGCTTCTGTCCTATGAAATGGCTATGTAATGAAGTTTGCCAATCCAGAAACACACCCTGAAACAAGGATCCAAAATGCCTGTCCCTCTTCCAAAGAGTTAAGTTGCTGGTCCTTCTCACCTAGTAAGGTCTACACTGAACGGTTGCAGCTCTCCAGAGCCTCGGACCAGAGGATGTTTCCCACAATGAATCAATCCTTCCACAGAGGTGGAGTCACATATGATCCCTCCCCTAGCTCTAGTCTGCTCCCTGTACCTTCTTTATATGCATAATAGCCCCTGCTTTTGCAAATATACTGAGGACGTCTTGAAGCAGCTTTCTTATGAATACATTAAGAAATACAGTAGCAAACTGATCTCTTCTGAGAGAAAACAACTGTGGTAGACATGATAGTCAACACAGGCAATCACTTACTCTGTTGCTGAATCATTGTGTTCAGTGATGGTTGCTGGGGCTTGGAAGGCTGCATACCCGGAACTAAATTGTCCAAACTGATATTTACGCTGGGGTCTGACCAAGTGGATGGTAGGGTTTTGCTTGCATTTTTAGGGACCATCTCAGTGCCCAAATTATAAAGCTGAGTAGGCTTCTGTATCATTGGGTTAACACTTTGCAAAGGCTGGAACCATTAAAAAGGAGAGATTAAGGTCTTAAAATTATGCTTTTCATTGCTGACTGTATTTTATTCTCAGAGAGGACAATTCATACAGTATCTATAAAAAGAAGCAGATGGACATTTATGTTTGCCTAAGAAAACTGAAGAAGCCAGAAAGTTGAAGTTCATGCACATAAAATTTTCAAGAGCATCTCTTAAGTATGCTACTTATCAGCTTGGCGGAGCTGCGTTAACTCAGAACTGTCCTGTTCTCTCCCCCGCACCATCCGCCCACCTCCATTTTGAAACCTTGAACCAATCGTGAAGTTTGCCAGGTCAAAAGACCGTGCTTTCAAGCATCAACTATTTCACTACTGGACAAAACTCTCTGTAAGCCAGACTGTCAGAGACAAGTGACTCTTCTTATTGTGTCATACAGGTATGACACTGGCAGTCTGTTCTGGAGCATCTGGATTGCATCAGGTCTTTTTTCTCTTAATGTAATTGAATCTCAGAGAGTGACAATCGAGGAAAAAAGACAAGCAAGCACTTGAGATCTACAAAAAAGATGGTTTAAACAAGGAGTTTGTCAAAACTATTCAGGTAGCATTTCTTACAATGAAGAATAATAGTCATGAAGGAACTGTAGAAGAGGCTCATACCTGTGACCTTGACATGGGGAGATTCATGCTGACAGAGCTAGAACCCATCATTGAGAAATTCATGCTTTGGGAAGAGGTCATGGTGGCTTGGGAGGTACCCATCAAATCAAAGAGGTCAGCAGAATTTGATGCAGCTGGAGGCTGGCCAAGACCCTGCTGAGCAGAGCCACCAAAGAGCTCAACAGCTGGCTGAGCAGAGCCACCAAAGAGCTCAACAGCTGAAGCAAGAGGGCATGGAGGGGCTTGGTTGAAGGCACTCCAGTCGCCAAACTCTCCATTCCCACTTGTAGCTGCACCTGGGGAGGGAAAAGAAAGGACAGAGACTTTGGGAAAGGCACAGCACAAATGCCACATTCCATGAACTGAAACAAATGAGAGCGGATGTGTGTCCATCCAGATTAACATCTGCAGGTAGGCTCTCCATCTGGACATTACTCTTCCTCATGAATATTCCACTCTTTTTAACAGGGTAGCAAAGAAAATGAGAAACATCCATACCCGTGCTAGGCAGGATGGCTGGGTAATATGTCACCTGTGGAGCATGCACGAGTGGGATACAGATTTCCTAGCAGGTGAACCAGCAGGATCCAAAGAAACTTCCAACACATACCAGTGTGGTGGATGGAGGAGGCCAGTATCTTCCAGTATACAATAATCAGGAGACTTAGGCAAAACTAGAAGCATTAATTCACTGATGCATTGATTCAATCACTGGCAACAAGACTGGCTTCACAGTTGTAAGAAGTAATAAAAACAGCAATTTGTTCAAACTCTTCTGATTACATATAAATTACTAGCTTACAAAGACTTATTAAATCCGTATAGCTATGTGGGATACCAATAAAATTGTGGGCTTTCAAATTCAGCTGCCTCTGGGTGTTTATTTCACCTCTGTTGTGCTTGTTGACAGAATTGTATAGTATTTATTTAGCACTCTATGGGTGTTTTGATAAATATACATTCAAAGCTCACACATGTTTTCAAACCTTTGCATAGTAAGTACAAAGAAAAATGTGTGATATTTACTTCTTTCCCTTCCTTCATTAGAATCAGTCTGCCCTCCATATCTGAAGAATAAACACTTTGTCTGAATAAAACTTGCAGGTCAAATCACAAATCATAAACATGGCAAAGGTGAAGGTCTACTCCATTTTTAAAGCGAAGAAGGCCTTTGGTGCAATTGTAACTTGTTAGCCATCCATGAATGTTGCAGTTTTGAAGCAGTTATAAAAAAATAAAAATGTTTGGTGGATAAAAAGAATTTTACTGTTTTGGCCTGAAGCAAAGACTAGACACATATGAACACACTGCACAAATGTCTGTAAACTGATGAGCAACTTGCAATTAGCATTCAACTATTAGGACAGCTCAGTGCAGACAGAAAGGAAACAATAACAGAATTTTTAATCGATGATTACGTGACCACTTGATGAAGGTTTTTTTTTTTAACCCAAATGAACAATGGCAGACTTGGGAAATGTAAGAGTAGAGAGATGAGACCTCGCTGATTTCAGAATAATCTGGCCTGTACAGTTAGCTAGGAATTAGTGATCTACAAACTTGCCTATTAAATAGAATCTAACTTTCCTGATCTTAAAGATATTACAATAATTTACATCTCATGTCAATAATTTTTAATACTACCTGTGCACCTGGGGTATAAAAACCCTTATTTTAATTAATTTTACCTCTACAGGTGGATTAAAATTTCAGTATGGAAGGGCAGGAGGGAAAAGAAGATCCAAACACATCTATGTGCTAAACCCACTTTAATGCAAGTAGTGGGCTGAAACTCATTAGCTTGGGGCCATAGTGAAACATTTGCTTTGATCTTCCTTACAAAAGGGACTTTATTGGGAGTATTTCAATTAGTACTGCCTATTAAAAATTTAAGCACACTTAAAGTATTCCTGATGGATAAGTAAATGCTGAATATGCCGATTCTCTAGTTATTGGATGCTCATATCCGAGCACACGTATAAAGGAAGTGGGGAGAATAGAGAGGCGTTTGTTGCCGCTCTTTGGGGAACTTTACCAAAGATGATTAATCAACAAAAAATTCTAGGGGGGCTTTATTGTTTAAGAATAATTAATCATTGCTGGCTTCTTGCATAATGGCTATTGGTACAGATTAATCATATTAATACTGATAAAGGAATATCATCAAGTTACACTGTATTATTTGCATAATAAGATGCAAATACACCAAAACTTGCATTTTCAAAAACTTGTAAAATCAAGGCAGAACAATGTAACCTAAATAATTTAAGGGCACATACCTCAAATCAAATCAAATCTAATCTAATCCTACCCCACCATACAATGTATTTTATTACTGAGGGTTGAGAAAAACAGCACACACTCATCTAAGCTTTGCCACAGAACATTTTTTTTTCAACTCATCTGCTTCAAAATTCTGTAAAATCCAAGCTGTGCTGATCAGCTACCTTTCTTCAGAAGAAAAGAATTAATTCATTGCCGTTTTCAAGGAGGGAAGGCACTGAGTATCATTTTGATAATATAGCAATTATTATAGTACTATGGCAAGAAGACAACAAAGACAGTAATTTAGGGCCAATCATAATATTTGCATAAGCTTCTTCACCCCTGCAAGGGAACTCTTAATGTGAAGATTTTATGCTTTTTCTTCCCACTGGGCCATTTTTAGTTTGCATGAAATTTGAATAAATCAATACATACAAATTAGCATTCACCTCCGCCCCCTCCTTGGACATGTAGAAACCAAGCCTAAAGCAAAGCATCTAATTTCTTGGGTTAATTTCACCCTTTTGCAAACACACAGTGCTGCAAGATGTGTGGCATACAATTTTTAAAGGTCTTCCTACACACTGCACTGTTAAAGGCATTATGGGTTGCCTGAATTACTACATATACACATATCTGGCTTTTGTTCTGTTCCATTAAGTTCCGTTTTCCTTTGCTTTGTTTTTACTGTGGCCACTGTTGAAACAACTTTGGGTGGCATATATGATTGTCCAGTTTGACTACTTGCCTAAAAAAGAAGTGTACACCAAACAGATTTGATACTGGTATCAAGATAAATGAGCTGTTACTACCCAATCCCTTTAAGATTTACAAAGGAAAGGAGTACTAGAATAGGAGTAGTAAAAATGTAGGTCCACTAAAACTACATATTTATTCCTGGTGGCTTTCTAACTGTGCTATTCAAACCCGCTGTGTGTTCTCAGTCAAGCTATGTTTATAAAACATTTGTCCATGGCTTTGCTTAAAAACCTGTTGAGACTCAGAACCAATATAAAAACAATTTTAAAAAACCAAATCAACTATAGAAATCAAATTAAAATATTGCTAACAGTTAGATACATTAGCCACCATCAAAAATGGTAAGACCAATTAAACTGCACCATTTAAGAAAATATCTTCAGAAATTGACGTTTTGATCTGCTTCAGGAACATGTTCCAAAGAACAGCCCTGTTTCTGCCACTCACTGAGAAGCTGTGATCTGAAGTAGAGTCTCCTTGTCACCTTCAACTAGTGGGCAAGCCCAGAGAAACGAATGTATGTCCAACTGTCAACACTTCTAGTTCCATAAGTCTAAGCAGATATCAGACACTTTACTTCTGAGGTCCTAGGTCCCCTCAGGAAAGCAATGAAGACACATATAGCCTGTATGAACAGAAACTATGACCCAGTCAAGCTTCATAACTGCATAGATCCCCACCACAAAAAATGCCCTTTTTGGTATTGACATTATCTGATCCATTGTGACATTAGACCTACCAGGCCACAGTCAAACACATGTAACATCTCTCAGCTCGAAATGGGCTATTGATATGCCATCTGTGAACATTTCTGTCCCAAGAAATATTTATGTATATTTTATTTACAATATTTTAACCCTGTCCTATACAAATGTCCCAGGACAGCTTACAACAAATTTGTGTTTCTGTTTAATAAGTAATGCAATAAGTAACAGGCATAAAGAATACATTGGAAATGAATACTACAAATGGAGTTGGGTCAGGAATTAATATTTTTCTCATTTGTTGCATGCTTGACGTCAGGATTCCTGGGATTCAAGATAGCTGCACCTCTGCTCTGCAGCACAGTCCTACTTTTCTAGCTCCTCCACAATGACCAAGTACACAGTAGATACTCAGCCATGTGTGGTTCAAAGCCTTATATAAGGCTGCAAGGACATCGACAACAATTCTGGCTGACTAAGGTTGGTCTCAAGATGACATGACGCCCCCGCACAGCTGCTTTCCATAATTTAAAGCATAAGGATAAGGTACCAAGCACCATTACGATGAGAACTGGATATCAAACTGAATCTGCTCTAGTAGAGAAGACACTTTCTGTCCTAATAATGCAGAAAAACATTTCAATGAGAAGAAATGTTTCCACTTTTTATTCCATCTGTCCGGTAAAAGCACTGTACCTTGTGATGAGGGACAGCTTGCAGAGGCAGCAGCAGAGCTGAAGTCAGCAAACCCCCCAAAGGGGTCAGTGGATCCACCTAAAATCACAGCAATCAGAACACATTATGGTGAACTAGTGTAACCATGCCCACTTATGTAACAGCTCACATGGACTTGCTAGGGGGGCTTGCAACCATTAATCCATTTTACATTGGATTAATCACCTGGATGCAAGTAGTCAGGAGCGGCAAAAACTATGTAGTTTGGAAAAGGGTGCAATCTACCAAATGTTGCTGCACGAGATCGCTGCACTGCAAGACTCAGAAGACTGTGTACTCAGGCATTATCTGGCTTAGATGCACAGAATGAGTCTGTGGGAATGTGAGCCACGTGGACCATGCAGTGGAGCTGAACTGTGTGCAGAGAAGGCATCTGAGAGCCACTGCTGCTGCAAGCAGGGTGCCGTTCACCTGCATAATTTCATCACACAACAGGGGTTTGGATGAACCCAGCGACCTAGCCACAGGGGAAGCCTCGTCGGGTTCTCCAGAAGCCAGCTGTGGAGAGCTTTTGTCCTTGGGCTTTTGTTACAAGGGCACTCACCGGGGAGAGGGGTGGGCACAGACACACAGACTGCCATGGATGACCATGAGAGTTAAAGGCTGATCCAGAGGGGTCGTAAGACAGTTTACAGCGGGCACGGAGAAAAGAAACATAGTGCAGACACAGCTGGATGTCACAAGGCATAAACGTGGCTCAGTCCTGGTCATCCTGTACCTCCCTGGATTGCATGTAACTGACCCAGTCAAATCAAATTATTCCCTCCTTATATAATTTAGCCACAAATTGTCATTTGCACACCAATGCATAGCAAGCGGCATTAAGTCATACTTCACAGGTTTAGTTATAATTTATAAAGAGTGCAGAGAATGAAAACCTGGTAAAGAACCACTGTAGGCTTGGCATAAATATCGCAACAAGTAAAGATTAAAGCAATTCTAAACTCAGGGACTAGATATAACACATAGAACAAGCTTTTTTATTGAAGAAATGCAGCTTGTAATGAAAAATTTAAAAAGTCTTCTCATATGTGAAATCTTGTGTGGTTTAAAGCATGAATGCCTTGCCTAAAATTTTAGATTCAAGATTTCAAGGCATAAAAGTCTGTACCAGTACTCACTTTTTAAATATGTTTGCTTCTTTTTCAGAACAAGAACATTAAAGTCTCCGTTGTATGCTATTAATGAATTATTTACTCGAAATACAGTATTTTCACCATTCTCCACTACGGCATATTTTATACATCAAAATAGAAAAGCTTCATAATCCATATTGGGCATCATTCTGACACTCCAGTTCATCAAGTTAAAGAGCAGGCCACTATAGATGGTGTATTTTCCCACAAAGAGACCACCTCCTTGCAGGCAGGAAGGCTGTACACCTCCCTATGCTGAGCTCGAGGGCCAAACTAGATTTCATAGCAGCAGAGATGTAGGGGGGACTGGGGCCAGGGGACACAAGCAGCACTGTTCTAAAAAATGAAAATGCCAGTGTTCTGACAACCTTCTTCACAAGCCCTCTTTAAATGCTCAAAATGGTGTATGGCCATTGAGTTTTGTAAAATGCCTATTTTTGTGTTTAAGAACATAAGGAAAGCCGTGGTGGGTCAGGCTCAAGCCCCATCTAGTGCAGCATTCTGCACACATGGTGGTAAACCAGCTGCCCACAATCCTTCAAGCAGGATGGGTACAAGACTGCCGCCCGCCCAGCTCCTCAGCTACTGGCATTTGCAGGTATGTCACTTCCGGTAAAGAAGAAAGCACATAGCCTACAAGGCTAGCAGCCACTGACAGCCTCCTCCCCCATGAATCTGTCCAATCCCTTTTAAAAGCCACCCAGATTGGTGACCCTTGCAACTTCCTCTGGCAGTGAGTTCCACAGTTTAACTTTCATGGGCTGATCCCAGCTTCAAGTGTTACGGGAGAGGGAAAAAATGCCTCCCCGCTCTAGTCTCCCAACACAAAGCATTTTTTTAAAAGCCTCTATCATGTCTCCCCTTTCTCGCATTTTTTCTAAGCTGAACAGTCCCAAATGTTGTAGCCCCTCCTCACAGAGAAGCCACTCCACTCCCCTCGTCATTTTTGTGGCCCTTCTTTGTACCCTTTCCAGTTCAATAATGACCTTTTTAAGGTAAGGAGACCAGAACTGAACACAATATGCCAAGAGTGCCACACCAAAGATTTGTGTAAGGGAAATGAGATTTTGGTGGTACTGTTTTCTATTCTTTTCCTAACTATGCCTAGCATGGAGTTCTCCTTCTTCACAGCAGCTGAGCACTGCCCAACACTTGCATCGAGCTGTCCACTACTGCCCCAACATCTCTTCCTTGCTCAGTCGCTTCTGGTTTAGATCCCATCAGATTACACTTGAAGTTGGGATTTTTTGCCCCAGCATGCATTACTTTATACTTGTTTATACTTAATGCATTTGCCAATTTGATGACCATTCTCCCAGCCTGGCGAGATCTCTTTGTTCCGAGCAGCTGACATTCATTTAATACAGGGTTTGGGAGTCATGCAATATATTAACCACTCACTCTCTTTCCTTGAAACTACATTAGAATTGGCCTTGGCTATTATGGTTTGTCCTTAAAAGATTTCACCTCCCAGCCGTCGCACCCATTCAAGGAGCAGTAGCAGCTCAATTATTCTGCTTTTAGTGTTTGTGCACATTATATGGGTTACATCACAGCTGCTTAGCCTGCAGTGCTTAGAAACTAGCCAGGTGGGACTGTAACATCTGTGTTGCACTCAAACACCACCAGGGACAGCTTCCAACATCTGGTGCCATTTCTGAATTGTCTTATCGCTGCAAGACATTCTGCTCCATCTGCTGCTCTCAACTCAGTTAATTAAACCAGAACCATCTCCTTTTTAATAAATGGCTAGCAGTAATAAAACGAACAATTCCCTTTCTGCTAGATGTGTACTTGTATTCCTTTTTAATGCTATTTTATTTTAGTCAATATTAAGGGAGCATGCTTGGCTTTCAGATTGGAGCATCTATCTTCAGAATGCATGTGGATTTCATAGCAGGTAGGAAACATGAAGAATGCAGTAGCCCATTCCCAATTCTTAAAAGGTGGGTTACTTTGTAGTGCTTATACAAAAGTAAAGGCAGATTGGAGGTTTCCTGTTTTAGATCTTAAATAACTATGAGAAGTTGTGATAATTATTAAAAAATTGTCCCCTTGTTTGTCAAAAAAGCTTGAGGATGTTCAATATATTTGACTAACTAGAAGGCAAAACAAAAGAAGCATTCTTCAGAGAGAATTAAGTGGCAGGTGCTTACAAAGACAGGTGTGACTACTATGCCAGTTGGGTAATTAAAAGCTTCAAATAATCATGGTCTTAAATACAAATTCACTAGCACTGGTTTAGGCAACATAGGTAAATAAAACCAAAGCACCTATTTAAATGTGATACTGTACAAAAAGGCATAAGCTAGTTAAAATCAGATGACATTGCTGGGGGACTAAATTTTCCATATGAATTTAAGCAGGAGGGAGGAGGAGATACATGTATATTCTATGAAGAGGAACAAGGCCTATGGGAATTTGCCTTTGCAAGGATGCTGCTGTATCAGTCTGCTTCCTGAAACCATCCTTAATAGGAAAACAGAAGAAGGTTGTGTTTCTCACAACATTAGTGAGTGAAACAGAATGCTGGTCACTGATCGTGAATGCCTCTTCTGCTTTGGTGCAATGGAGGCCTGCTACAATGAGGAAATCCCCTGCACACCCTACCTAGACTGGCAGGCTGACTGCATGGCCAAGGTGCCTTTTGGCATTGGCTGAGCACTGAGAAAATCATGACTGCTGCCTCTGGAAGTGTGTGTGTGTGTGTGGGGGGGGGGGGGGCTCTTGCGACTGTCCGGTTTGCCTGGCAAGAGGCAGTGGAGGTATGGAAATTCATCTGACTCCTCAAAAGGGTGGGGGGGGGGAGAGGGGGGAGGCTGAATCTGGGAGGGTTTCTTTCATCCAGAGCCTGATTTGCTCTCTGTAGTTGAGTTGGAGGGAAGAGGGAGGACTCTCTCCTACTCCATTTCCAGCTGGAGTCATACTGTTGCTCTAAAAGTTAAACAGTAAGCTGGGAAATAACTGCCTGATTCATTTTAGCAACAAATTTATTCTCAAAAGTGAGGGTTAGGGTGAGGGGGTAAAGTTGGCGGGTAAAATTCACCCCTGCAACTGTTTTTGTCAGGGGGATCTTTTTGCTTCCCATACAAGCCTATGAAAAATCACTCCAAAGCCTTGTACAGGGAAAAAACAAAAACAAACAAAAACCCCCAAACCAACCAAAACCAAAAAGATTCCCTTTTTTTTCCTAAGGGGCCTCCATGGGGGATGCCTATAAAGAATTGCTCTGTAGGCTTATACAGGGAACCAGTTAGCTTCATGAGTCCCTTAACCTCATGAACCTCACACAGAGCCAGTGTGGTGTAGTGGTTAAGAGCACGGGACTGGGACTCAGACGATCTGGGTTCTAGTCCCCGCTTGGCCATGGAGCCAACTGGGTGACTTTGGGCCAGTCACAGACTCTCAGCCCAACCTGCCTCACAGGGTTGCTGTTATGGGGATAAGATGGATGATGTAAGCTGCCTTGAGCCCTTTGTGGGAAAAAGGCAGGATATAAATAAAAATAAATAATAAAATAATAATAAAATAACCTGGCCTTGAGGGAACACTAATGCCCACAGGTGCCATGTTAGGGATCCTGAATTATTACACCTGCAACATTTACTAGAATAAAATGCTTCAACCTTTGACACATCTACCATTTAAGCAATAATTAAGTGCTCAAAATGAAATAACAAAATCCAGTTTTTCATTCCAATTTTCAGAATAATAACGCAGTTTGCCTGACCTGTTGTATTGCTCCAAGTGTTTCTTTCCTTCTTGGGTTAGGCAGATGCTTTCCACTCTCTAGACAGAGACTAGCTGTTTTGCAAATATACCCACAGATTCTTAGAAGCATGCAATTTTCCTGCTAAGCCCTTTCCAAAACAGACTTAATTCAATACTTCTACTGCTCCACTGCTTTGTACACGATACAAGTTACAGAGCCACATATAGCTGCAGCAAGTGGCACACTGGTCAGGAAAAGCGACCTGCTTATGAAGGACAGTGCTAATCTTCACAACATCCGCTAGCCTTGAAGACTCCCAAGTGAGAGATGTCGTTATAAATTAACTCCTTCCATCTGCCTCCTTAGGGCAGCAAAGACATTATTTGTGGTGGACAGCTGGTAGCATGTCTCATCTCCAGGACTTCTCCCAAATGCTGATGTGGAAGGATGGGGCAAACTCAATTTCTACAGTAGCAGGTAATTAGGCAAACTGGACATCCAGAAAAGGATTTTCAGCCACAGGAGCACATTTTGGATGAAAAACAGATGGAACAGCCTGTAAGATTAGGGTAGTCCCAAGACAGAATCAAGAAAGGGTTCAATTCTTTATCCAAGCTGAGAGGGGAGAGAAAAATCCACTTGCCCCTTCAGCAAAAACAAGGGCCACTGGGTTATGAACTCTGGCTTGTGACTGGAATCAGAGGGCTCCGTGCACAACTGGAAAGTGCTTCCAGTTGTGAAGGGGAGGGCCACACTGAATGCTACCCCATAAAGAGCTCCACATCTATATTAACATACAGATGCATTTAAGAAAGGAGGATCAAACATGTGTAGGACTGGAAAACCAACAGAAGATACATTTGTCCATAGAAAAATCATATCATGAACAGGTTGCCCTAATAATAAAATGGATCATTCACATGGACACATGCAAGGAGAGTGAAAGCATATTTTCAGCTGCCACAGCAGCATCACTGTATGATCTTTTTCCCTGAAGAAGAAAGCTTCAAGTATAAAGTACCAAAAGACAAGTAGAGATTTAGTACATTCTATGTATGGCCTTGAGATGTAGCATGTTTTGGTTGCATCAGGGTTAGTATGGGCAAAAGGATGGCAGCAGTAGCTCCAAAGCCCTATGGCAGCCAAAATAAGTTTTGGAATAAAAGAACAATCTGCTGGAAAATGGCCCCTGGTTCTGAAGAACGGAGAATTCTCATGTCTTAGGAAGGTTTCCTTGCCCCAACAAGGAATGCTATGGCCAACATAATAGGTTCTTAAGGGTCAGGACCCTTGGAGATACTGTATTAATGCACCTGATGAGCGAGAAAATGCTTGCAAAACCATGGTGGTACACCATGCATCAGGCCTGAGAGGTGGTTATGTGGCTCCTATGCCTCTGTGATGCTAGAAACCAATTCATACCATCTTGAAGAAAAAGCACAATGGTGTTCATGGTGGTCCTAAAGGCACTATGCCAAATCAGGAGGGACCTGCAAGTATCATTGCAAATGAATGAACAAATGAATCTGGAAAGTAGGGCATTCAGGCAAGGCTGTGCTAGTTCAACGGGAATGGAGTTGGCTTTAGGTTGGACTTTAGAACTGTTTTAAGATACTTGGCAAGCCCGTTCTAAAATGGGAGGGAAGGTTAAATAAGGAGCTTGCCACATATAGTCTCATTCTGTCTACTTTTCTTTTTTTCTGGCAACTGTGCTGATGGGCATGCTACCTTTAGCAGCTTAGCTCTCCAAAGTGCTAGCATGGGGCGGGAGGGATTCCTCACTGCCACACTGCCCAGCTAGCTTACAGCACGTGCTCTTTGGGTGCCCACCTTCTACAGGGGGAGAGCTGCGTCCAACCACTTTCCAGGGCAAGTGAATGTGAAAGGCAGGCAATTGCTTGGTTCATAGTTTCTCTGAACCTTCCTCATCAACTGTATGCACCAAAGTGGTGAGATGATGGAAGGGGCAAAAAGAGCAATCATTGCTCTCATGGTATCAAAACCGAGGCCCCAATTCTGTGTTTTTTTTCTCCTGGATTGCTACCTAGAAATTGCCTCCCTACTGCAAGCAGGAACAAGCCTAATGCTGAATGCAGTCCTACCTAGGAAAATTTCATGTCACTGAACACATGGTGACTATGCAGTATCATAAAGCAATTAGGAAGACAGAAATATTTACTGTACAAAAACTAAATAGCCTTTCTGGGATAAAAAAATTGTTGGATGTTTTGAGATACCGCTTGGGTTTCATTCTAGGAATACATAGAGCATGTTTCTAATTTATCTTACTGCATATGTTGGACTGCATCCAGAGAAGCAGTTGCAGCTGGATGCTTCTGCAGGGCCTGCTGCAACTTCTTGAAAAAGCCACTCCTTTGGTACTGAGAAAATGTTTGCACAAAGCACTTCTCAGCCAATTGCTCCTCCGGCTATGCCACACTGTTTTGGAGCATCCCCTGGCCCTTAGGAGTAGGGTTTGTGCAGGGGGGAAGCCATGGGGAGAAGATGGCAGAGAAATGTCCTTGCACAGGCCCCTATCTGGAGTCAACCATTGCTTCAGCTTCTACAGCTGAGTCTGCCAGAAGCAAAATGGACTGCATAGTTTGAAGGAAATAACTCTCTTACTTTTCAAACAAAAATAGAGCATTGCAAATGGAGGATAAAAGGAAATTTCCCCACCTGCTTACCTCTACATTACATCTATGCTGAATATGTTTTATTTTTCAATGAAAGTGTCCTTCAACAGAAGGCATGGTTTCTATTTCAGTCATACCAGCTCTTAACTATTTTATTTGTTCCAAGGCAATATGGATTATACGGCCATAACTATCAAGGTCCAGCTGTACCAGTGGAATAACAAAGACATAAGCAGAACCCTCTTAATATTTCATGATAGCTGCAGACATTCCTTATGTAAACATGTTAAGGCTCTTCATTTTTTAAAGTTGATCAAACCTGCATTTTGGTATGGATATCAATCCACACCAATTTTAAAGTGAATTAAAAAAACAAACAAACCATTATGGGTTTATTTGCATAGCATGGAGGACCAGCCTACAAGTAAGCAAAATACTGTGGGTCATTCAAGGAACCCACAGTACATGGAGAAATTTATGGTTCACCTGAGAGATAAATCGTCTCTCTACAGGTTGTCCCTCTTTCCTTCCTCACTGGTCCTTCTTGAAGGTATGCCACAGGACTCTGTGACAACCACAGTTCCTTTTATAGTCACCACAGTTTCTGTTTTATGCTTTTCACCCTGTTTTACCCCAAGTGTCCGCTTCCAAATATCACAAATGCACCATGACCATCTATGCACATTGACAAAGAAAGGCTACAAATAGATTCATCTGTTGCTTTGCTTCCCATCTGACAGCTGTCAAGCAGTGAGCATTTTAGTGATAAGTGAAACTGTAAAAGGATCTTTAATGGTGAAATGGGGCCGGTCAACCCCTTCCCAGTATGTTCTTCAACCTTTTTGGGTTAGACTTGACTGTTCTCAGTGTCCCTTAACTTTCTAACCCTAATCTGTCCTGAGAATCTAGGTGGCTCAAGGAGGTGGGAAAGTGTGAACCATTCCATTTACAGGAACAACTGACAGGAACAACTGTCAGAACCCAGGTTCCCTTTTAAAACAGGAAATTTTGACAAAATTAATCAGTGTGCGTGTTTTAAGGGGTCAAAAACAAAGTATGCCAGGAATCACTAGAGAGACCACAATAAAAGTTAGTGAGTTCAGTTTTGCCCTCTCTCTCCTACACACACACACATTTTGCTATATATATGAAATGCAACTTATGAACGGTCATCTACTTTTACTACTTTTTCTCCCCCTGAATGTGTGCATTATGAGAAGCATTAAACTTGACTGGATTACACACTCTCAGAAGTATGAATAACACTGCATTCCACCACTGCAGTGTCAGCCAGCCTGACTTAGCTGTGAATCTTTCTAAGGTGTTATGATTATTATTAATCTATATAATAGTCACCTGCATGTAGTTTTACATTTAATTGACTCCCTTAGCTTCTTGACACATATGCCTTGATTTTGCCAGTACAACGAAGTGCAGAGCTACATCTACACCAATTGCTCAAACAAAAAACGGAAATGCAGTTTACCTGTTGAGACTGACTGATCAGTACCATCGAACAAAAGATCAACCAAGTCACTGGAGGATTTGCTGCCAGGAACCTATGGAAAAGCACAGTTGCACTTTTAAGCAAATATGGCTATAAATATGTGTGAGAAAACTAACTGGCAGCCAATAACTCTCTGAATCTGGAAAGTTATAGATTTTCAATCAAGTGTGGGAGCAGTCTGGAGGCAAAGACTGAATCCATGCTTCCATGCTTCCCCCCACCCTACATAGGAGACAGCTGGCAGATTTCAGCTATGTATGTCCTTTGCCGCTGGTCACAAGGAGGAGGGGGACTGAAGCACCACCTGGATTCTTTAAAGCAGGAGTCCCCAACCCCTGGGCCATGGACCAGTACCAGCCTGTGGCCTATTAGCAACCAGGCCACACAGCAGGAGGTGAGCAGAGCAAAGCTGCATCTGTATTTGCAGTCAGTCCCCAGTGCTAGCATCACCACCTCAGCTCCACCTCAGATCATCAGGCATTAGATTTTCATAAGAAAACACAACCTAGATCCTTTGTATGCACAGTTTACAGTAGGGTTAGTGCTTGGTGGGGTGGCCAAGGCCACGGGCCCCTTCGTCCCTGAGGCATCCCCTCCCACGTGGTAGCCAGGCGGCCAGACGAGGGGGTGGCTGCATGGTGCTCCCTTCACTGCAGGAGGGTCAAACAAGTGAAAGATGCATGTTGTCGTGTTTCCCTCCACCCAGGGGCTGGGTACCAGGTGCCCTCCAGGGTGGCAGTTCAAAGACTCATGTGGCCTTGCCTGCCCAGGCAAATGAGACCATGAACCGTACCGTAAACAGCGCATGTGAGGAATCTAGGTTGCGAACTTATGAAAATCTAATGCCTGATGATCTGAAGTGGAGCTGAGGCAGTGAATTGTATCATTATTTCATTATATGTTACAATGCAGTAACAATAAAAACAGAGTGCACAATAAATGTAATGTGCTTGAATCATCCTGAAACCACCCCCCCACCCCCGGTCCGTGGGAAAATTGTCTTCCACAAAACTGGTCCCAGGTGCCAAAAAGGGTGGGGACCACTGTTTTAAAGGACAGCAATGCCTTGTTCCGCTCCACCATCCAGCCCGTGGTTTTTTTGTCTTTGGCGGGCCACCTGTGGCTGAAGGAACTGCACTGGCTGCAAGGGCAGAGGGAGAGGCCTCCAAAGATCGAGTCCCTGCTGTGACCTCAGACAACCTTTCCAAGTCTGCAGCAGGGCCTCTGGTTTTTCCTAAGGCACTGTCTACTGGACATAGGATTGTACCCTCACTCCTAAAACAACATTCTGCAAAGACATTTCTGCGGAGACAAATTGTGATAAACCAATTTGGAAACTGAGTAGAGCTGGTAGCAATAAAAGCCCAGTAGTGTGTATGATGGACTTCATCCAACTGAGACAGAGTTACCATGCATTAAATTATCAGTTTATATAAAGGGCATTAGAAAACAGAAGAAGGTAATAGGAGAGATTATCATGCACAATAATAATGGCGATTCTAACAAAATTGACACTTTCATTTTCCATCAGACAAGGGGCAAGACAATCTAATACTAGCATTAATGTTAATTATACCACATGTGGGCAAGTGACCTCTAGCATAATGCCAAGTGTTTACTGGCATTGAGGGTTTTCTTGAAAACCTAACAAGCCAACAAAAGCTGATGGCATTGTTCTAGAGGTTGCCTATGTTGTTGCAATGTAATTGATGTTCATGCTAGGGTTAAATTGGTACTTCCTAAGATATCTATAGGCACGTGGAATGGAAAGGTAAAACCTCCCTCAGTACTGCCACCCCAAAAAGGAAACATAATTAAAGATACCAGAAAAGTCAAACTGAAATTTTATTGGTTATTTAATTATTTAATTACCTCCATTATGGCTTTACCAATATGTCTTGAAAATGATATTATAAGCTGGCTATAGTGCATGAGTTAGATGCACAATTTTAGACGTTCGATAGTTTTTTAGGTGTTTATAATGATTTTCACCTTCAGGTTGTTACTGCCATACCTCTGAGATTATTCTGTCATAAATGCAGGGCTGATATTAAATATTGTGATTGATTAAGGATTTTCTGCATGCCTTTGACAATTTCAGATATGCACTGAGCATCCCATACCTGAGCACATTTCATTGTAAGTACTTTAATTCTAGCAGTGAGAATTACAATACAATAGTGAGCTTAACTGAATAAAGTGATTCTCACACCAAAGTTGGTGTATTTTAGATTGGGGCACAAGCTGGTGCATGTTTAGACAGAAAAGGTCCTACAGCTTCCAGCATCCATTCAGCCAACTGTGCTGGCTTGCGTACATTGGGAACTGCTAGCCGTTTTTGGTTTGAGTATGTGTAACATCACATTCTTAAAACATGCATAAAGCTAGATTTCAGAATAGTAAAAGTAGAGATTCATGCTTTTTTTCTGTCAAGAATTGAGGTACTGTGCTTTCTTCTCTTGCCACAAGGAAGGGAATGTATTTTACTGATGCAATCCATTCATTAAATCACAAAGCTCACTTCCTGAAAGGATGGTGTCCTTTGTTACCATGTCCGCCTAAATGCTGGATTTCTGTGCATACTCATGAAGGATGACAATGGTTGGGAAGCTGCTTTTCCTGGAGCACAATGTCATTTTTAATATTCTATGAACCTTGGCACAAAGTCAAGTGCATCTATGATAAACCCTTTAGGTACCTGAGGGGTTTCTAGAAAGCCTGCTCATTACAACATTATTAAGCAGACAAATGGCTTGCTTTAATTTGCTTTTAAGAACTTCCCTCCAGTACACTTGTTGCAGATGTTCAGTTTTGGATGGAAGTGGAAGATCAGTGGAAGGAAAAATAATATCCAGGATAACAAGAAGTGGAGAGCAGGGCATCATCACACTTAAGGGTACAATCCTAGACACAACTTCCCTGGCAGTAAACTGCACTGAAATTATGCAACTTACTTCCGAGTAAGCATGCATAAGATTATGCTCTAAGGGCACATTTAAGACATGAAGACTTTTTTTCTTTGAAACCATGCATAGGATGGAAACCTCAAGGGACTGAAGAGCAAGATTTATGCTGATTCATTTGGCAAGTTGCACACCCTCAGCTTTCCAGCAGGATCTGAAACTGTGTCCCAATTTGAATGGGAATGGAGAAAAGTTGCCTATGCAACACTGCACTCATCTAGCAACTCTTTTAGGCTAGTCTCTTAAACTCTACATCGGCCACACCTGTCTGCCTCAGGCTACAGATCTGTGGCATGCAAACAAGTTAGGTATCTGGTTTAAAATAAGACAATGCATCTGAATAAGTCTTATTGGCTTAATGCTTTTTGCTTGCCTGGCACCATCAATTAGTTGTGCCTGGCAGACAGAGAATTCATTTTTTTCAAAATACACAAAATGAAGCATTTAATTTGTAGAAATTAGCATGGGGAATGTGTTTTAAGAACAAGTGTTCCTAACACCAATAGTCCTTCATGAGTTTGTCCTATAACCTAATGGGAATTATCCCTTCTACAAATCAACCCCTGTTCTTTTTCAGTCCAGGTTTCGGGCTCAGACTCTATTACAGATTCCTGCACAAAGAAAATGATTGCATAGGGTTTTTCTGGAATTAAAATTATTTTAAAAATCAGTCTTAAAGCACCTCAAAGAAAATGTAGTGATTAATAATGAAATGTTTTAATAAATAAATAAATAAATAAATAAATAAATAAATAAATAAATAAAAGGCAACATGGCTTTATCAGAAATAAATCCTGTCAGACTAATTTAATCTCACTTTTGACTGGGTAACCTCCTAAACAGACAGATGGAACTCTGTCTGGACACAATCTATCTTGAATTTAGCAAAGCTTTTGACATAGTATCCCATGACATTCTGATGACCAAATTATCAAAAAGTGGACTACACAGAAAAACTATTAGGTGGATCCAACATTGGCTGCTAAATCGGACACAAAGAGTGTTCATCAATGGCACCTTCTCAAATTGGAGGGAGGCAATTAGAGGGGTGCTGCAGAGTTCAGTCTGAGGCCCAGTGCTCTTCAACATCTTTATTAATGATTTAGAAGGTACAAGGAAAGATAATCAAATCTGCAGACAATACAACACTGGGTGGAATAGTGAACACTCTAGAAGAGAGAATTAAGATCCAGGGTGAACCTGATTAACTTGAACACTGGGCTCAAAACAACAGAATGTGATTCAATAAGAACAAGTGCCAAGTCCTCCACCTAGGAAAAAGAAGCCAAATACATCGATACAAGATGGCTCAACAGAACTGAAAAAGAAAAAGATCTCAGAGTAATTGTGGACAATAGGTTAAACATGAGCCAACAATGCAATGCAGTAGCCAAAAGGGCAAATGCTATTTTGGGATGCATTAACAGAAGTATTACTTCCAAATCATGAGAAGTAGTAGTTCCTCTATACTCTTCACTAGTCAGACCTCATCTGGAATACTGTGTCCAGTTCTGGGCACCAAGATTTAAGAAAGATGCAGGAAAATTAGAAAGGTCCAGAGGAGGGCAACAAAAATGATCCAGAGTTTGGAACATTGCCCTATTAGGAGAGACTGAGAGAACTGGGCATGTTCAGCCTTGAGAACAGAAGACTGAAGGGGACATGATATCACACTATAAGTATCTCAAAGGCTGTCACAAAGAGGAAGATCAACATCTCTTCTTGCTGATACCAGAGCGTAAAACAGAATAATCAATTCAAGTTGCAAAACGCAGATTCAGGCTAGGTATCAGGTTTCCTCACTGTCAAAGCAATGATGACAGTGGAACCAGTTGCCTAGAGAGGCTGTGGGCTCTCCCACACTGGAGACATTCAGAAAGAAATTGTATAGTCATCTGATTGGGATGGTGTAAATTGGTGACCTGCACCAGCAGGTTGGACTCGATGGCCTTGGTCCCTTCTGACTCTACTATACTATGATTCTATATCATCATTAGAAAACTCTGTTTATAGTTTTGGTTATTGTATGTAAAAAGAGACGCTGTACAGTTGGGAAAAGTGCAGAAAAAAGTAAATGAAATAAGGATAT